AGCTGAATTCCTGAGACCAGATGAAATCCAGGTCTCCTACTCCTCCGCCATCTTGCCCCGCCCCCCTATCTTTTTTAAATTTCATTTTTCTATTTATTTTCATTAATTTCTGGGACAAGCTGAAAATAAAAAAATACAGGTGCTTCACTGGTGATAATTTGAGAAGCACCAATTAGAAGGTGGTAGGGTGTCCTAGGTGGTAGACAGTGGGTCAGTAGACCTTCAGAATGAGGGGAACTCAGGGAAGACCAGACACAAGGAAGGTTTCCTGGTGGAGAGGACAAAGTTGGACTTTGGAGGATAGGCAGGATCTTGACGGGTGAAGAGGCCCCTCAGATCACTCCTGCAGCTGGGAGGGAGTACTCATACTTGGCATAGGCTTGTTTGCAGGCTGCTTTCAGTGCATATACATTCTGTCCCAAGCACTGTCCTGGCACAAATGGGAACTGTTGGCATGGAGGGCTGAGCATGGTTATGGGAGTCACGGCCCTGGGTTCTGGATAGGGCTCTGATGAATTTTCCCTGGGTGGCCCTAGGAAGATCACTTGATCCTTACTAGGCTGGAAAAGCCATGAGGGCAGGGACTATCTCTGATGAATGGTGCTTAGCTCAAGCCTGGCAGATAAAAAATTCCCAATAAAATTTTTGGTGAGCCAATGGATGAATGGGTTTCAGTTTTAACACTTGAAAAATGAGAGGGGCTAGGTACGATTGGTGGTTTTCAAATCATACAATGAGAAACCTTGCAAAGCTGCACTGTGGTCCAACCTGCAAAATCAAGTCTCTACCCTTGAGTTTCTATAGGATTTCATTTGAAGAAGGAACTCCACTGCTAAAATAATTTTGGGGAAATACTGGATTTGATGATTTCTAAGGCATATGCTAGCTCTGACATTTTCAGATTCTAAGCAGATAGGAATGCAAATCATAGAGGCCATAAAATCATTGACTTAATGAATCACTACTGTGCAAAAATAGACATAGGAGATATAAGGATGTGCTAGAATATTGGGGTTGGTGGGGTCCAATCAGCTGGCAGAGCTCTTAATGTGAAGCTTGTTGACAAGCTTCAGAAGAAGGATCCATTTATCTCCCAAAAGAGTATGTAAAATTTTCCGTGCCATTGAGTGTCACTTGCGAGTGCTATGGTTGCATGTAACAGAGACACATGACACTGGCTAACACAGAGAACACTGCTGAGTGGCCACTACCATGGCTTAAGTAAGCAAATGGTTTGTCCTTCCCATGTAGTAAGTCTAGAGGCAAGCCACCGAGGCTGGACCATTTGTTCAAGGAAGTCATCAAGATCCAGACTCCTTCTAGCATGTGGCTTTTTTCTAGTGGTCCCTCTCTAGGTGTGACATCTACTTTCCAGGAGTGGGAAGGCGGGGAGTCAAAAGTAGTGCCAACTGGGAAAATTGGGAAAGTCGCAGCTTTTCTGAAAGCCCCACCTGGTAGACTGCCACCTTCATCTCATTGGCCAACCTGTCCTGCAAGAAGCTCTGGGAAATCAAGTTTTATTGAGTGATCAAAGCTGGGATCCTATTAATAAGGTGAAGGAGGGAATGGGTAGATACAGACAACTGTCAGTATTTACCATAATATGTATGTGATTTTTTTTTTTTTTTACATTGCCCAAAATGTCTTTAAGGAAGGAGTTAATTTGAAGAACATGTAGAAGGAGGAAAGTGAGAGACATGGTTTTGTAGGGAAGACAGAGAAGGACATTAGAGCAGGCAGGAGGATGTGAGTGAGCTTGGGGGTGACAGCAGGGGGGCCCTGCGAGGGAGGGCAGGAGGCGCATCCACTGCTCCTTCCTTGTCTGGCACAGGGACCCTCAATCGCCATGAACTGAACTTTAGCTTCCTGCTGCTCTCCTCCCCCCCCCCGCCCCTGCCCCCCAAAGCAGAAGTGTCCCTGTGACATGGTCAGGGGCCCAGGACCCAGCCCTGAGGCTGGAGAGACCCCTCCTTTCCCTCAGGCCTTGGCTGCGGGAGCCCAGAACCAGAACAAGTGCTCAAGGAACCTCACTCTCTAGGATGAGAATCAGACCAGGCGCTGCTGTCCGTCTCACCTCTCCGTCCTCCACCTCCTCCTCACTGGGGGAATGGCACAGTGTCAACAGGCAGTGAGTAACCTGAACATGGGCTCTCCATTCCAGGAGCAACAGACGCTATCCAGGAAGACCCACTCGGCCATGTCTCTGTGGCTACCTTTCCGAGGCAGATGGAAGCTGGGGCGGAAGAACTCACTGGGGGGATCCTCGCAGCTCCCCAAGCAGGACTATGAGGCCCTGAGGGAAAGGTGCCTGTTGGAAGGCCGCCTCTTCGAAGATGACTGCTTCCCAGCCAGCCTGAGCTCCGTGGGCAGTGGGCCCCTGCTGCGGAAGCTGCCACCTGGCCTGCAGTGGAGGAGGCCTCCGGTAAGCGAAGAGGGTGCTTCCCCATAACACACACACACACAGGTCAACCCAGACCTTCCTTCGGGGTGTTCCAGATGCCAGGTCTTACTCACTGCCATTGATCCCCACGTGAGTAGAATGCATGAGGGCCCACATTCCCATTCTCCAGATGGAGAAAACCAGTGGTGGCACTGAGAGGGGTCTGAGAGGTGGTTTCCCTCAGCCCCTACCCAGAAACACACTGGGCAGCCACAGCCAAAGTCCTGTTGGGCCTCATCCAAGATGGCAGGGCATCCTGAGCCGCCACCAATGCCATCGGCCAGGGAGACACATTCTCATGTACATTCACTCCCAACCCCCAAATCAGGCCCACAGAACACATAAATTAAGAAGCTATTAATTACTTTACGACAATGTTCTTCACGTTCTAGAGTGCTTTGACAATTCCTTTAAAAGGCAACTTAATGTGTTCAAAGGCAATCCAGCTCCCACCAAACTTGATTTACACAATGGATTTCCCAAACATGGCTGGTGAACAAAGTGGAGTCAGCCTGTGCTACAGATTCTCCGCCCTTCTGGGCCCTGTTCAGCCTGCCCATCAAAGCGTATGGCCCCAGACTAAGTCCCTTCTGTGTGCAAAATTCCCAAGAGGGCCTCCCAAACTAGATAGCAGTCAAGATTCTACTTTTCCCAGAAAATTCGGAAACAGCTGACATAGAGTCCGTCACACACTGGACCTTGGGTGAGCTGTGCCATTGCAGAACATGAGGGCTTTAGTGCTCCCCATGGAGCAGAGAGCACCTGCCCCACCTCCTACTGCCGGCCCACCCACATCTCAGTGTGGAAGGGCAAAGAGGCCATTATGTTGGGGGCCGGGGGGTGGGGAAGGAGCAGTAGGAGGAGAATAAGGACAATGGGAAGATCTCTAGGAAAAATACGAGCGCCCTCTAAAAGACATACCTCCATTTTAACAGAAACTCCAAGCAAAGGCATTTTGGTACAAGTGCTATTTCTCAGTATCCACCCAGAGTTCTCCCGGACTCTGGCTTACATGGGCTGCAAGAAGAAATGAGAAATGCGACAGGCTGAATCCATATGCCAGCTTGTCTGGGACAGTCCTCATTTCATATATATTCTATATCCATGTCCCCGTAAGTCCAGTCTTGGGGTATGGGAAACTACGGTCACCGTAGCTCAAGGAGCTTCTTCTTGGTCAGAAGGGCAATTCCGTCTGTCCCCCACAGGAGCTACACAGCAATCCCCAGTTCTATTCTGCCAATGCCAAAAGACTGGACCTGTGCCAGGGAGTGGTAGGTAAGTCTGTACAGCCCCTGGACACACAGGCCTGGCAGCTGCTAAGGCTGAGTGGGGTGGGAAAGAGGGCAACTGAGAGATTCCCAATGGGGGAAATGGCCACCCTGAACTCCACCTTGTAGTCTGTGTGCTTTGCCAGGAAAATGGTAACAGCTAGTCCTCTGAAGATGTATGGGAATGCCAAAACTTGCCCAAGGATAATCCTCATTACCAGTTTACAGGTCTAAGTTTTGTCTTGGGAGAATGCACTCACTCTGCTCTAGTCCCCATAATGAGTCCTTTTGGGCACACCAGTCACTAGATGCCCCAGCTGGAGTCCAAGCAAGCCTATCCTCACCCCGACTTTCTTTTTAGGGGAATAGAAAAAACCCTTGGCCACAAAGGGAAGGCACAAATGTAGTGATACCTGTTTCACAGACAGGGATAATGGAGCCCGGAAGGGTTGAGGCTTTCCCAGAAGAGCATAAATCAGTTACAGAGGCAGGACTTTAAGAAAATTTGGTTGTGTTTGGGTCCAAGTTGCTGAGGATGTGGCATTCAGGAAGCTAAAAGCTGGTCCAGGATTATGGCTCAATTCTTGGTGTCAAGTTGAGATTCCAGCCAACGCTCCTCCCCTCCTTCTGCTCACTCACTGTCTTCCTCCTTAGTATATCTTTCCCTTCTGCTAAACTAGGCTACAAGCCCAGAGAGGAAAGCAGTTGGGACTAGGCATTTCTTGCATGTAATGTCTTCAATAGATTCATGCAGACCCTTGCAGAATGTAGGAAGTACACCCATGCAGACGCTATGTGCTCTCTGGCTTAGGTGACTGCTGGTTCTTGGCTGCTTTGCAAGCCCTGACTTTGCACCAGGACATCCTGAGCCGTGTGGTTCCCCTGAATCAGAATTTCACTGAGAAGTATGCCGGCATTTTCCAGTTCTGGGTGAGTAACCTCCTGGTGCCCCAGCCTGGAGGAAGCCATAGGAAAGAGGGTTCTTGGAAGAGTCATGTCTTTGCCTCCTGGGCTGACCGTCTTCCACGGCGATCTTCTCTCACTGGTGGGCACTTTCTCCTTCCAGTTCTGGCACTTTGGGAAGTGGGTGCCTGTGGTGATAGATGACCGACTCCCTGTGAATGCAGCTGGCCAGCTGGTGTTTGTCTCTTCCACCAACAAACACTTGTTCTGGGGAGCTCTTCTGGAAAAGGCCTATGCTAAGTAAGATAATCACCAGAAATCCTTCCCCTTCCCTTCCCTTCCCTTCCCTTCCCTTCCCTTCCCTTCCCTTCCCTTCCCTT